TATTAATTCAAATCCTTGAAAAGAGAGAGGCCTTCCCTAACCACTCCATTGCAAGCAGACCTTCCTTTCCCCATGCTGTGCAGTGGCCCCCTCAATAATTCTACATATTCTGTTTATTTCTCTCTTAGCTTTTATCTTAACAGACTATTATCTGATTTATTTATTTGCTTAGTCACTGTCCCCCATTAGACTATAAGTCTTTTGAGAGCAGGAACTTCATTGAACTTGTTCACTGCTGTATCCCTAACACTTAAGATGGTGTCTGACACAGGTAAAGGGCTCAATAAATACTGAATGAATAAATAAATATATGGATGGATGGATGAATAAATTAATGAAATATATAAGCATCCAACTCAGGGGAACAGCACATCAATATTTGAAACATCCCTCAGGTTTTCCTTTTCTCCCTCGGACAAACGAGTTCATGGGATAAGGTGTGCAAGAATAACTTTAAAAGTTAAATATATTTAAATAACAAGAAACTTCACAGACTCTCAAATTATTCTTTGCTTAGAAAACTGCCATTATTTCATACTAGTAAGACAAATTTACTAAACTATGTATCAAATCTGGGTTAATATTAAAAAATGGTGTTTACTATCTCAGACATTGATTAAGTGATATTACGTTTTTACTGACATTGCTTTAAGTTAGAATAGATTGACATGTAGGTTTAGAAAGTTATTTTGTTTAGTATTTTTTTTAAAATAATGAACTCTCATCTTTTTAGTTTCCTTCCTAACCAATGATTTCTTAAGATCCCATCATTAAATGATCAAGCAATAATTTAACAAGTATTTCTCTAGTACCTATTACATTGTCATAATTTGCCAATGTATTGTGTAGAGAAACAAAAGAAGACATCATTTTACTTAATTGAAATTCTTCTGATTAGAGAACTTTAAATTGTGAAGAAGAAGGAGGAGAAGGAAAAGAAGGGGGAAGAGAGGGGAAGGAGGAAGAAAAAAAAGTAAAAATTTGCTCTCTAGACCAGAAAAAAGTAGCGAGACTGACTTCTTGCTTTCAATTTAAACTAAGTCAGGACTCAATTAAATCTTGTAACACATAAAATCACTCAACAGTATAATAGTTATGATTTTATACATATATATCCAAATTTCATCAATTCTAGTATGTCATTAATTATAAAAATTATTTTATGAACCACTAAGAAAAAATGCTGTCAACTGAACTATAATGCCATCAATTGTAAAATGTGAAAAATGTACGTTTTAGAATTAGTGGAATAGGGTATACATTATTGACCATTTGATGAATGTCTGTTGCACCCAAAGATATTAGACCAGGGTCCCTGATTATTTTATCACCGTACCATGACCAGCATGGTTCTGGTACCATGGTACACTAATAACTTCTTAATAAATCCTTGAATGAATAAATGAACAAATGAGTGATTGTGCAGATCAAATAGTGGAGTTTGTCTTACACTCCAACTGCCTAAATGATAAATAAGAAAATGCATTTTGAATCAGCACTAGCTGCTAAGTAAATGCTGGAAAGTAACAATATTGTCTGACATTTATTTTGAAGTGACACCTATCTTTTTTGAGTAGAAGTCTTGGAAATGATTAAATTCTATTCAAACAAACAAACAAAACAAAACACCCACCTCTATGAGAAACAGATGAAGCTTGATTTATAAAGCCTAAGTGAGTAATTTGATGTATTTAATATAACAAGTAAATTGGGTGAGGAGAGCAAGCTGTTTTCACCTCCTACTTTTCTCTGTTTTTAAATGACAGCCAAATTCAAACCTAGGAGAAAAGTCTTTCTATACGTTTATAGAAACCTGTGAGGGAAATGCCATTTTGTCTATGCACCATTTATTTCTTCCGCCGAAAAGGCGTTTAACAGAAGAAAGCAATATCTTTATCCATGTCGATGCAGGGCTTATTATAGTGTCATAGCATTAAACTGAATTTTTATATAGAAAGATGCATTCCAAAGAAGAATTCTGTCTATTCTCCAAGGGAAATTATACCCTTGACTTCTAATGTTATTTGATAGTGTATTTTCTCCTCTGTCTTCTGATACCTCTACCCTACTCCTTGTTCTTGGAATCGCTACCAAATCATTACCAAGTTCTGATCCAAAGAGGTCCACAGAGCTGACTGGACCATATCAAAAGTGTTAAAATAGAAGTAATAGGGACCAAAAATGCTTATCAGAATAGGATATGGATGATATTTGTATTTGCACAGAATGCCTCCTAATTAAGTCAATAAAAAATTGAGAGTCATCTAAGTGAGTCACCGTGGAATTCAGTGTATGAATGAGTAGATAGTATGAGATCCTAGGCAGGCAACTATTGACAAAGTTAAGAAAAATCCATATGTACTCACCTGGAAAGATATGTGTGACATAGCCTTAATTGAAAAAAAAAGTTGTAGACCAATATGTAATATATTTTTAACCTTTGGGCTATAGATACATCTGTAAGAAAATATTACAGAAGATAATAGTTGGAAGGAGTCACAGTGTTTGCACTCAAGAAGTTTTGTCTAGTGAGGGAGATAAGACTTGTATGTAAATAAAATTATGATACTAAGATAGATAGTAAAAGACCTCTTAAGAGAGTATCAGATAAGTTACCAAAAGAATCCAGAAAAGGAATTGAATTAATTCTTACTGAGAGCATAAAGGAATGTTCATGAAGGAGATGGCGATTTAACTGGGCCTTAAATATGTGTGTGAGGGTGTATAGAGTGGGTACATTCATAATCTACTTTAAAAAATTCTTTCCTCTATTTCAGTTTAATTGAGTTTCACATCCAACAATAATGTGCTACTTATAGAAAATTCATGTGTACTGTATATGTGTGTGCTACATATATCTCCATATACATATGGTGAGATATGCATGTTCAGTACACATAACAATTTATTAATAAATTTACATTTTTAATAACATACAGAATCATAGCAGGATTGCAAACTTTAACATAGGATGTTTAGTAGCATCCCTGGCCTCTATCCACCAGATCTCAGTAGCATCCCCCCGGTTTTGACAACTAAAAATGTCTGTAGACATTGCCAAATATCTCCTAGGGGACAAAGTAGTCCTTAGTTAAGACCCAATGGTCATGACTTAGATTTTCTTTTTAGATCCCTTCTTCAAGGATTTATAACATTATTGGGTCAAGAAAGTTTTTGAAAATCTGTCTAAAGCTTTTGACTCATTCATTCCTCAGAAAAACACACATTCTCACACCATGTTAAATACAATTTCAGAAGATTTACACTCTTGAGAGGAATTCTGTTTCTGGAAGCTCATAGAATTGTCATGGTCTGTATTTTCCAGCTGAGTGGGTAACTGAAGGCTGGTGTCCAGAATGTCCACACTTTGGAACCTCTTCAGCATTTACTTCAGAAGACTGATAATCAGGAGAGAATCATCCCTGTTCATCAAACTTGCCCACCCTTCATCTTAACCTGCATTGGTCAGTTTTAACAAGATTTATCACGGCAGGAGAAAAAACACTGATGACATAGGATAGACCTGACTCCCCACTCCCTTCTAGTTTAGATTCCTATCTAGTCCACTTTATTACCTCCTTGATTGTCCAGACAGACAAGGAGAAAGAACTAAAGAGTCAGTCAGGTAAGAAAGAGGGCCACCTAGACACTTGATTTTGATTGTGAAATATGAGAGAGAGTGTACAAACTGTGTATCTAAAATTTACGAATAAATTATGAACTCTCTGTAACCACCAGCCACTAGGTGTTTCTAAAGACTTTCTAGAAATCCAAAGCCTTATTGAATACAAAACTGGCCACTACTCCTGTCTTCCTCCCCACCTGGTGCTCGACTGTGGAGCTTCCTGATTCACACAGCCTAGGCAAGGTCGGCGCTCTTAGCAAACCTCTTCTTTTACGTGGGGTCCTGCACTTTTATAACAAGTTCCCCAGGGGGTTTCCTAGCCCTGACTTCGCATCTTGCGTTAGTAATTGGACGGTGAGTGGCCCAGGCTCCGGGGGCCCCATGACAGCCAGTAAGATTCTCATCCTTCCCTGTTTGGGAAAGGGGAAGAATGTGGGAAGGATAGGATTTCTTTCTCGGTAGGAGAGATGGGGAAAGATTTCTACCTGTGTGTTCCTCTCTTCAACTTAGGTGTCTCTGTTGATCCATAAATAAAACGTGTTCCAGCCTTCTGCGAGCGCTATAAAGGCAGCGGAACTGCAGTCCCGGGGGCATTCCGGGCGGGGCACGAACGGAGCTGCAGCAGGTGAGATCGCCGCTGAAGGTGCAGCCCACGCTACCTTGCCCTGGCTTGACTTCTAGGCAGACCTCGCGGCTTGGAGATAGGACTAGAGTGGGGGCCTGGAGCGGGTGGGCAGGAGGCAGGATAGCCTTTCTGAGAAGGTGAAAGTGAGAAGGAAGCTAGGAAAACAGATCTCACCCACCCAAAATTCTGCCCCTAGGGGAGCGCGACCCTCCAGCAGTGTACGCAGCCTCGGGCCGGGAAAGCGTCCTGAGGGTCCCACAACTGGCCCGCGGCCTGTGCTTCTCCCCAGTGCGCGCCTGGGGCTGCGTCCTAAGTCGGGTGCAAGGGGAGAGGGACGCTCACGAGGTCCCCTCCAGTACCGCCAGAGCTTCTGGTCCCAGCCTGGGTTTGGGGAGATTTCAGAACGCGGACAGCGCCCTGACTGCCCCCCGGAGGCGACTGGGTCGAGCTCTCGAAACCCCCTACGCGGGGCTCACTCCCTTCAGAGTCCGGGAGTCCCAGGAAGCAGGTGCAGGCTACGCGACCCAGAGGTCCTCAGGTGCCCCCCTGCAGGTGGCAGTGCTCGCCGGGGGCGGCGGGCCCAGAGGGCCCAGGCCCGCCGCGCGGGGCCCAGGCTCTCCGGGATCTGCTGCAACAGGTGGGGCCCAGAGGCGGCTAAAGGCCAGTTGCCTCTCCCTGTCGCTTCCTCGTCACCGTCTCTTCTCCTTCCCCTCTCCATCGCCTCCCTCCTTGTCGTCCTCCTTGAAGGGCATGGAAGCGCCAGGTCGCAGGTCGGAGCCGCAGCCGCTCCCCGAGTATAGTGGCAGCTACGTGGTGTCGCGGCGGGTCTACAGTGAGCTCGCCTTCCAACAGCAGTACGAGCGGCGTCTGCAAGAGCGCAGGACGCTGCGGGAGCGACTGGCCAAGAGCTGCAGGTAGCGGCCAGCGTCAGTCCGCAAGGCGGGGGACACCCGGGCTTCTACCTCCAGAGGCCCAACTTGGGCTCCTGCGTCTGCGACGCGTCCTTCCTGGTGGGAGGGTGGCTCCATCATTCTCTGCCCGAAGTTAACTCTAGTCTCAGGAATTTATCTTTGGGAAGAGTGTGTTCCGGAAGCCCCGTCTCTCTTTTCTCTTGGAGACACCTGGAATGCGCCTTCCGGTCCAGAAGGTCCTGAGAGTCCAGAGGGTCCGGAGAAAGGGGCTAAAGGGTCCCGAGAAAGGGGCTTGATTAAAAAGAGATGATGGATAAACCTATCATCTGATGAGGATTTCTTGAAAGCCCCAAGCTCATCTAGGCAGGATGCCACGCAGAGAGCCGGGAATGACAGCCAGAACACAGGAGAGCGTGGTGTGCTCCAAATCCTTCACATTAGGCAGTGGGACCCCCAGGAGAACTTCCATCAGTCTCTAAACTCAAATGGGCCACCTGTAATTAGATATCTCAAACAAAAAGAACTAGAGAACTGGCAACTGTTGCCAGATTTTCTTTCATTTTAAAAGCTTTTTATTGTAGAACATTTCCAATACATACAAAAGCAGACACAGTAGTATAATGAACCTCCTTTCCATGTATTTGCCCTTCATCCAGCTTCAATAGTGATCTACTCAAAGTTAATCTTGTTTCTTCTATTCCCACCTATTTACCACACTCCCACTATTTTTTTGAAGCAAATCCTATCTAGTGTATCTTTTCGTCTATATATATATATATAACTATATATTTCAGCATATATCTCTAGGGACTATTTTTAAAAATATAACCACAATTCCATAATCACACTGAAAAATAAAATAATTCCTCAATATCAAACATTGATTCAATGTTAAAATTTCCAATTGTCTCATAAATGTAATTAAAAAAAATAATTTATTTGAACGAGGAGTCAAAGAATGAATGTTCACCCACTGTTAATATTTTTTCTTTTACCTGTTGATTATGGAATTTAAAAAATAATAAGTAACAAGGTACAGCAAGATGTACTTTCATCATATTAAGAGTTTTGTAAAAACTGGCTCACACTTGGATTGCCAAAATATACAGAGCATGTTTATTTTTCTTAAAAGAAGAAGAGAAGAAGTAAAAGAAGGCGTCTGAAAGTAGAAGTCTGAAAATTAATCTCCATTTAGAGACTCCACAATGATCAATCTGTGGCTGGACCAGAAAATGGGTTCTTGTGTAGAGATATTTTCTCAGAGGATTAAGCCGGTGGGGTGGGGGGTGGGGCACTTAATCCTGTGTTTTCTAGCACAGTGCATTTAAAACGGTAGATAGAGTTCTTGGCAAAAGCATGGTAAGCACTTCAGAGTTAATATTGTCCATGTAATTCTCATTCTTTTTCTAAATAGTTATAAACAGCATAGTTCAGTTCAAAACTTTGTGATCACTTGTGTTTGACAGTTGTTCAAGAAAGAGAGCCCTTGGTGTGCTGAGGATCCTCCTGCCCATCCTGGACTGGCTTCCTAAATACCGAATCAAGGAATGGCTGCTTAGTGACATCATTTCTGGAATTAGCACTGGGCTAGTGGGTACGCTGCAAGGTAAGGTGTTGGTGAACTGGCTCCCAAGTGTTTGAGAACCACAGTCTCCAGCAGCAATTCATAACTTTCTCCAGGCTTCCATGAGTCTGCTCCAAATGCTTGCTTACCCTTCTGCTTCTAGAGTCCCTTAGTGGAGAAAAGTTGCCTCTTTCCTCCTCTTCTTCCTTAGAGTTCTCTTCCTAGGAAACCATGCTGCTTTTCTAGCTGCATGGCTCCAACTAGAGCCCTATTATCTAAGCAGTGGCTTCCTAACTTTTTATTAACTGCAACTCACAGTAAGAAATATGTATTACATTACATACTGTATACACATATCTCAAGTTTTGTGAAATAATACTTACCTTCACTATAAGTGATATACTCTGATATTTTCTATTCTATCCTATTCTATTCTGCTTATATATTTTTAAATTATAACTGCAGCCCATTAAATTACTTTACATCCACACATGGTCTTGACCTGCAGTTTGAAACTGGCTTAAGGGAAAAGCAGAAAGTATTTTAGTCTGGACTTCCCGTAAGTATTTTTTCCATTCCGCTCCCCCCGCCTTATTAATTCATCCCCTTATTTTAATCTCTGGCAAAATGTCTCAACATAGGTGGTTATTGCTACTTTATAATGGCTTTATACCACATTTCCACGAGCATCTTGGAAATCCATTGCCTAGCTGGGGAATAATAGTATGGACATTATCCTCTGTCCCATATCCCCAACATCTTGCTTCCACCCTCCTCCCAACTCTATAATGCCCCATGGATCATGAAAGCAGAAATCTCACTTATTCATTATAATTTAATGGAGCACTTATTATGTGCCAGACACTAGGTATGCTGACATGAATAAGATACACCACCTGCTTTCAAGGAGTTCATAGTCCAGTGGGGAAATAGATAACAATTGTATGTAAGGGCTGTGGCAGGGGTAACTTTGCTTCATCCAGGAGTGCAAGAGGGTCATTCAATCCAGCCTTAGGGGATTACGAGTGGCTTCCTGGATGCTTAGTTGTCAAAGCTGAGTTTCCCTAAAGGTTAAGTATGAGTTTGCCAAGTGTTGGGAAGTAGGGTGGGGCAGGGATGTGTGTACAAAGATGGCTTGATAACAGACTATTTCAGAAGTTAATAATAGTTGTTGAGCAATAGCATTAGCCGAAATTTGCCTCATGGAGCTCTCAAGATTACTCAGAGCAGGCCAGGTAAATTCCCACAGAGAAGGAGGATGTTCTGTGGCCCCAGTGTGGAGTCTCAGCCTGGTCAGCCATGTTTCCAATCACAGAGGTAGATAGAAGCCTTGGGTGGGGCTGTGCAGTTCCTAAATTAAATGAAACCAAGTACCTGTGTGCACAGTAGACTCTCATAGCTGTGACATGGCAATACCCTTTGACTGCTGAGGGACAGGAAGGGACAGGAAGCATCTAATTCATGTTTGTTTAGTTAATGCCTAGCTCAGCAACTGCCACAAAATAGTTGGCCCTGAACACATTTGGTGAAGAGGACTGAATTGCATTCTTGATAATGAATCATCTTTCTGTATCTCAAGCTTGGTTTCTCCCGTTTTCATTGATAAGTATCTTATAAGAATTCATTTTAATTTAGTTTTGTTTATTAAGTATCAGATATTATGCTGAGGACTTTGGCCAGTTATCTCATTTAATCCTCACAACAACTATTTTTAACTCCTTTCAATAGATGTGAAATATATTAAGTCTTGCCCAAGGTCATGGAGCTTGTAGGTAGTAGAGCTGAGATTTGAACACAGAGTCTAATTCCTAGGATCTTAATTTATATACTGCACTGTTCCTTACTTTATGATAATTTGTTTTCCAGAAACATTATCTTTATAAGCTTATCTTTGTAAAGTGAATTTCTGGGAGGTAAACCTAATTAATTCATACATTTATTAATCATATATCATCATCCATTCACTTAATAATATTTATAGACCAATTCTGTGTGCCAGGTATTCAGCCATGGGGATTAAGTAGTTTATTGACAGGCACATGGAGCTCATTTCCAGTGGTAGACAGGGGAATTAAATAAATAAGTAGAGAAATAGAAAAATAATTATAGATTGTGATATCCATTGTGGTGGATTAAATATGCTGTAACAGAGATTAATTTGGGAAGTGCATTTTAGATAGAATGGTCAAAGAAGGCGTTACTAGGGGGTGAAATTTGATCAGAGACTGGAGGATAAGAAGGAGCACCATGTATTGAGCAGAAAAGAGTATATCAGGCAGAGGTGTACATGCCCTGAGGCCAAAGGAGTTTAGTATTTTCAAAGGAGGAACAGAAAGAATTCTGGTGCAAGTAGAGTCCAGTGAGGGGAGGATGGGTGAACAGAATGAGATAAGGTTAGGCAGAACCGGGATTAGGATGAGGCAAGTGAGGCACTCGTTCTCTGGAGCCATCCTTAAATACTGGGCACCTCACTTGCCTCACCCTCATCTCGGCCCTGAAGATAGGTGTGTCAGCTTAAACCAGATCAAGCAGGAGATGGAGAAAACTGCACAGATCTGAAATATATTTTGGGAAAAGACTCACTGGGATATACTAATGGATTATGTATAGATGAAAGGTTGTTGGCTTGAGCAACTGAGTAGATGGTTGTGTCATTTATTAAAATGGAAAAGGCTGGCCGAAGAGCAGGTTTGGTATGGAAAACCAAGAATTTCCTTTTGGACAGGCTAACTTTGAAATGCATGTAAGACAACTTAAGTGGAGATGCCAAATATAGAGTTGGAACTACTACACGTGAGCAGGGTAGAGGAGAGGGCTGGGCTAGACATAAAACCCACAAAAGTATCACTCTAGAGGTCATGTTTAAAAGAGTGGGAACGCCTGAGAGTATCTGGGAAGAGAAGGCAGATGGGAGAAGATGGCTGGAGTATTTAGAGGTCAGGAACTTGAGGGAGGGGCCACAAAGAAATGTGAGTAGATTTGGCTCAGAAAGTCAGAGAAAAAGAACAATTGGAGAAATGTGGGATCAGAAGCCAAGAGAGGACTTTTTTTTTCTTTTTTTAAAGGGTAGATAGTGTCATATACTCAAGGGGAGAGTACAATGATGGAACACAGGCAATGCTTTTAAAGTTTGTTGTGAAGCAGAGTAGAGAAATGGCAGTAACTAGAAGGAGATAAAGGATGAAGGTAGAGTGAAGGGAAGATTTATTTTTCTTTCAGTATCGGAGATACTAGAACATATTTGTGACTTAGTGAGAATGACCTAGTAGAAAGAAAGAGACCTGTGGTCCGATAGGTAGAGGAGAAATGACTAAGAGTTGAGAAGGGGCAAGCATGGATGGTTTCAAGAACAGAGTGGTTACTCCTTAATGGTTGCTCCTTAAAGACAAGAAGGATAGCGCCTCCATTTTCAAAGGAAAAAAGATACACCATGGTGCAGATGCAGAGAGGTTTGAAATTTTGGTAAAAAGCAAATTAGGGGCATCTCATGGATTCCGTGTTTTGGATGAAGTCGAAGATTTATCTCTGAACTGCATCTGTGTGTAGAAGGGGGATGGGAAGTTTGAGAAAAGTAGGGAGGTTTGTGTAGTTGTCTTAGAGAGCAGAAAACACACTTTCGGAAGAAATGTAATTGGATTGCCAGGCAGTATTGAATGCCAACATGAAACTGGTTGGCCCAAATGTAGGAGTGTCTAGTCCAGTTTATCTAGCTGTCTTCGAAAAGGTGGACTTCTAGGTTCAGCCAGATTGGGGTTTTGCCAGACAGGAAAAGAGGAGGGAGAGAGCGGGAAACAATATTTGCGAAATTCCAGGGACAAGGCGGCAATGGAGGACAGGAGGACAGCAAGGATGGGGGGAAGGGGATCAGTTAACGGATTAGAAGCCTCGTGAGGACAAAGAAATGTTGCAATAAGGATTCTGGAGTAGGGGAAGAGAAAGGCCAGGAGGCTGTGGCTAAAAAGGAGGCTCAGTGGGGAAGGGGGAAGGAGGAGTTAGATGGGGTAAAGGGGGTCAAATATGTGGTGACAGAAAGAAATCTAACTATGAGAGGTGAACACACAATGTAAATACATATATATATACCTATTAAAATGTACAGCTGAAACTTATCGGATTTCGTTAACCAATGTCACCATAAAGAATAAATAAATAAATTTAAAGATAAATAAGTAAAAAATAAATAAAAAGAAGGCTCAAAGTTGAGATTTCAGAGGTGGTGCTGCAGTTTCTAGTGATGACAGGCCTATGGCATAACCACTGTCTGGGCAGCGGAGGAGTTGGGAAATACTCATCAGAGAGGTCAGGCTCCGGTTACTGAGAAACCAGTTGTTGCTAAGGATAATGGGATCTTTTTGACTCTTGTTATTAAAAAAAAAAAAAAATTCTCTCCAAGCAGCAAAAGATCAGTGCAGCCCCTTTAGTGCTTCTTTTATTCATGGTTTTGGGGAGCCTGTGCTTCCCTTTCTACCTTTGCTTTCTAGATGCTTCCAAATGTTTGTTAGCACCCCCTTTATCAGTATATACCACCATCCTACACACAAAGGGTATCAATAACAGAGAGGCCACAGTTTAAATCAATGGCTTAGATTTCTTTACAAATTGTATAATTTCAAAATTGTTGTAACGAATTCCTTTATAATAAAGATGATTATATTTAAGTAGCAAATGTAGGATACTACATGAAAACGGAAAAAGTTCCCATTTTCCAGGCCTGTAAGAACTGCAGAGCCCAGTTTAGGGAAGTGGAAGTTTAAGAAGGATTTGAAAAAAGTACATAGAAAATAGGTTGTTTTCATTCCCTGCTGCTTCTTTTTTTATCTTCCCTTTGTGGAGTCACCTTTCTAGTCCGTGTTCTTGAGACAGTTAATTATTGCAATTCCTTGTTGTAATTTTATATATTAAAACAATTGCATCAGTAATACAGATTTTTCTAGATTGCAAACTCTGTAAGGGTACTTTCTTTGGTCCACTCTCATATTCCCTCAAATCTAGAATAGTGCCTGGGATGTTAGTACATAATCAATAGCTGTTGAATGAATGAGTGAATGAATGCTCATTCTAGGAAACTGGAAAATATATTTAAAAATACCTCCTCAATGAACTTGAAGTCTCCTTTGATCCTACCATATAGATAACCCATTAACATATTAGTAAATATCTTATTAGACACATAAATGCATATCTATTTAAAAGTATAAAAAAAAGTCCGAGAATTATAACCACTGAATTCAGGATCATGGTTGTCTTCTGAGGATAGAGAGAGGGAAGAGGATGTGGTTGAGGAAGAGAATACAGAGAGCTTCAACTGGACTGGCAATCACTTATTTCTTAAGCTGGATGGTGGATACATAGGTGTTTATTATAGTCTTTTTGTATATCTGAATTTTGTATATACTAAAAATCTTTCCAGATTTTTTATGCATACAACATACATGTGTACTTTTATAAAAGTAGGAGCATGCAAACTTACTATTTTTCTCAATTTTTTCTTTGTATTTTACATATCTCTATGTTAGTAAGTGTATTTCTATACATCACATCAATTTCATTTCATAGAATTACAGTGTATAAAGTGTAATTTAGTTAACCACTTCCTTATTTTGAGACATTCATTCAGAAAATAATTTGGGGCACCTGTGGGCCAGGATATTTAGGTTGTCGCCACACTTTTTTTTTTTTTTACTATTATAAATGCAATTGTTTATTCATGACCCAAGGGCCAAAGGGCTTGTTTTTTTCTCTCACTGTAAGTGAGTGAAATACGGGAAGGTAATACAGCCTAAGATGTGCTGACTATATAAGAAGTATTTAACCAAGGAAAAGAATGAGCTGTTATCATATTCTAACCTTCCTGTGTGTGGAAAGGTTTAGATTTCTCTGTACCACATGACATTCATGTACCCAGAGATGCTTGGGTTAGCTTAGTGGAGGAGTTGATCTCCTAGTGGGAGAGCCCAGTAGAGTTGTCTTGCCTGCCACTATGTACAATTGTCATATTTTTTCTTTGTTTGGATCTAATTTCTGTTTTCCAACAAGAAAGGAGAAAGAGCAGTGCAACAATATGTCCCTTAGAACACAGAGAAACACTGAATTCAGATAAAACCACCTATATGCAAAACTGATATAAGCCTTTGGACTGAATTAATGACATTTTAAATCAACAACTGACTTGATTTCTTTTTTTCTACTCAGGTGATTAGTGAATAATTGAATTACTGATAAGCTGAGTCAATTTACTACAGCACATGATGCCTGTAGATGCAATCATTATCCTAGCATATTTGAATCATGTTCTGCATCCTAGTATAGCCACAGATTGTATGCAAAATAAGGAAACCAGTCAGGACAAGCTGCAAATTGAGGATATCTATGAAAAGGCCTCTTTTTTTTTTTTTTTTTACAGTATAAACAAACTATAACTTTTGTTTGCAAATTCAATCATTTTGGTTGTACTTATAGGTATGGCGTATGCTCTATTAGCTGCAGTTCCAGTTGGATATGGTCTCTACTCTGCTTTTTTTCCTATCCTGACATACTTTATTTTTGGAACATCAAGACACATCTCAGTTGGTAATTATAAGCATTTGCTACAATTGTATTAATCGTGTTTAATGTGTTTTGGCCATATTATGCATATTTTGCTTCCATATCTTTGTTAATGTTTTCCAGGGAAATAGGGATTCAGTGCTTTGCCCGCTTTTTCTATTCAGTGATGCAAATGGTTTTCTTAGCTTTCAAAATACTATGCCTTTACTTAGCTTTATACTTAACTCTTTTTTTTCATGAAGAGAAATTGAAAAATTGTTACAATTATAGCCTACCTTCAAATTTTAGCGTGGTTTTATTTTTTTAAATGTAATAGATTTGACTTCATATTTAGAAAGTATTCTCTTCTGAAACAAAACAAGACAAAGAAAAAAATCTCCAAGAGGCCTTTGAAACTACTGTTTTATCAGATTATATTCTCTTCTGAAACAAAACAAGACAAAGAAAAAATCTCCAAGAGGCCTTTGAAACTACTGTTCTATCAGATTAACATAGAATTTACCAAATTTTGTTCATCAAATACATATTCATTATTTCATTAAAGAGCATATTTATTTTAAGTCACTAAGATTGAAAGACTGGCAAAATCATGCCAAAACAATTTAGAAACTAAATTGGCTTTTCTTCTTGGTATGACTCAAAATAGGTTTATTTCCTGCTATTCCTAAAATTTAAATTCTCTTTTGCTAGAATGTTCTAGTAAATACAGATTTTAATGATATATTGCTACTTTGACATTTATACTTGAGATAATTTTGCGCCTACATCCATCTGCTGACTAGACATGTCTGCCTAGAAAATTCTCTTGAAACAAATACAACTGTCCCCATATTCCCAACCCATATCCTGACCTTAGTTGTATTTTCCCCAGTATGTGGCATGTTGTCTTGTCTGTGAAAGGTCAGGAAGAGGTTTCATTGACTGAAAGAACTTCCTCACCTGGGAGAATTGATCAGCATCAAATAATTGACGAGGCAAGGAACGTAGAAGCTGATATTTTTCTCTTTGGTATTCTATACATTTAGACATTCCAGGTTACTGGATTTTGGTGTTGAGCCCTCCCGATTGTTAAAGCCTTTCATGCTAAAAGGACAGGACCATCATCATCATGGATAAACATATCAGTAGTGAATGGAGCAGTTGTTGGAAGAAAAGGAGTACTTTCTAAACATAGAATTGGCATTTGATACGAAAAAATAATTTGTCTTGGAAAGAGAAAGAGAAACTATACACTCTCTTTGCTTTCTTTATCTTAATTTGAACCCTGTGATATTTGATTGAGGTACTCAGCTCCACAGAGATTAAGACAATGGATGCTCTAGGAAATGAGCTTCTATGGGATAAAAATAAGATGGAACAAGTAAGGACTCAGTTTATATTCCGCCTCTTCCAGGAAACCTTTCCTGACAACTCTCTCCTCCCACACACGAAGATCAGACAAAGATAGGTTAGAAACCCTTTATGTGTACTTATAAAGCATCCTGAATGCTGCATTATAATTACCTACCTACATGTCTCTCTTGCTCATTTCTGGGTTGTAAATGCCTTGAAGCACTTGCTTTTCAGCTTCTTTTGTGAACAAACAACATTTTCCCAATCATAGCTAATTATCTCATACATCTTTCTAATCCTATGTAGACATGACATGTTGAGCCTAAACACTTGCAATTAATAATTATTAATTGATAGAGACTTTTTCTCCAGGACCTTTCCCAGTGGTCAGTTTAATGGTGGGATCTGTTGTCCTGAGCCTGGCCCCCGATGAAAACTTTCTCATACCCAGCAGTAATGGAACTGCATCAAATGCTACCATGATAGATGATGCAACTAGAGATGCAGCAAGAGTACTGATTGCGAGTACTCTTACCCTTTTGGTTGGAATCATACAGGTAAGCGTTACAAGTAAGATATAGTCTGGGATGATTTTTATTTGAAATAACTAGCTGTTGTTAACCTAAAAATAAAAGACTTTTCAAAGTGAGGGGCAACAGCATTTATTGAGATCAATAAGAATAGCTATTGAGAAAGCATTGATTCAAGCAGAAGCCCAGATAATGTTCCAATTTGGAGACAAGGGCAGTGGGTATTTATGAGAAAGGGAAAGGAAACAATTACATCAATAGAAGGAAGGCATTTCTATTGGTACAGATAATATAGTGATGTTAATCCTAAACAATGCTTTTAATTTTCAGTACAGTAGTCATAATACTTGCTTTCTTGTTATCTTTACAATAAAGTTCACAGAATAAGCTACATGATTTTTTGCTTTTCTTATTACATATCTAGAAATACTTTAAGGTTTACATTACGCACGGTTTTCAAATTTAGAGTGATGGAGGAGAGAGGAAACAGGACATTAAGAAATTCAGATTTGTTTCCCACAAGTATTTTTGTATTATAGACAGGCTACCAGAGTTTAAATTGGTGTTAGGTTTAATTTGTTAATGCTTCAAGAGAGTAGGTTCTTCTCTCAGGCAAACATTTAATTTTTCCTTCCTTCTTCCTGTCCTAGTTGGTATTTGGAGTTTTGCAGATTGGATTCATAGTGAGGTACTTGGCAGATCCTTTGATTGGCGGATTCACAACAGCTGCAGCCTTCCAAGTGTTCGTCTCACAGCTGAAGATCATCCTCAACGTTTCAACCAAAAACTATAATGGAGTTCTCTCCATTATCTATGTAAGTGTTGCTTCTTACTCTAGGGATGACTCACTAAGAACAACGTGTTATTTTCCTCTTTAACTTGAGTCTGGAGAGCCTGCCTTCCTCTGTGCCATACTTTGGGAGCCACTGAAAGCATTCTTCTCTGATAGAAGCAATACAATTGGGAGTAACATCAAAAAAGGCAGATTATTGTTCTCAATTGGTCAAAATGGTTTAAGAAGTGTCATTGCACTTAAAAATATTAATGAAAACTCAGTGATACAGTGAAGCTAAGACCGGTATGGGATGCAACAGACTTGAGTTCCAGTCTCAGCTTTGCGTCTGACAAACTAAGCGGCCTCAGGCACATAATGTAGGATAGTGGCTGAGAGCTCAGGTTTGGAGATGGATGACCTGGATTCAAATCCTGACTCTGCAATTTGCTAGTCAGGTGAGCAAATCACCATGTCTCAGTTTCCTTTTCTGCAAAATGGAGTTGGTAACAGTATCTACCAACTAAGTTATTAAATAAGGACAGATGAGAAGCACTTTGGCCCAGAGGCTGGCACAGAATAAGTACTCAATGAAAGTAGTTATTTTGAAACTATTATTTCACATCTCGAGGCATCTTTTTTATTTGTTAAATGAAATAATTGAACATGTATCTCTAAAGCCCTTTATAACTCTGAGAGTCCATAAGTATATAATGTAAATGTCTCAGCAATTATAGATAAAAAGGAACATTAGATTCAGAGATGATTCAACATGCAAAAGAGATGCAAAAGAAGGATGTATATCACACTAATTAGATTTAAAAAGCTCTTAGATCTAAATATATATTCTATATAAGGCATGTTATTGATGCTTGAAAAGTCGTGATAATAGTAACATGATATCATCCTAGTTTTAGGGAGAATTATACTAAGCAAAAATAATGTGCCAATATTAAGAATGAAGTCTTTAATGACCCATGTAATAGCTTCTAAAACAATGTAAGGTCATACACACATATCTAAACATTAGTGAGGTGGTCAGGAATTTGCTCAATTTCACAACAGATTCATAATCCCATATTACTCTATCCATTCAAAAGATATTAACGAGTGCCTATTACAGGCCAGGTACTATGCTAAAAAGTGGTAGAGGAGGTAGTATAACACAGCAATTGATATCATGGACTTTGAACTTCAATGGACTTAAATCATAGTCTTGGTTCCATCCTCTAGTATCCATGTGATTTGGGGCATGTTATATTTCCCTAAGCCTCAGTGTCCTCAATTGTAAAATGGGGATAATTAGAGTAGCTGCCTTTTAGAGTTTGTGTATAGCACTTAGCACAATATCTGGCACATGGTAAGAACTCATAGTAATATTGTTATTATTATTTTCATTATCATGATGAGTAGACCTCATCAAGCATACTATTCACCTCCCAGGCACCCAGCCTATTGGAAGACATTAGCACAAGTTTTTTTTTTTGATTCAGCATTATTTTTGTCATTGTTTCTTTCTTTTTTTTTTTTTTTCCTACCAAGTCCTTGGCTTGCTTGGAAACCTTCTGACTGCCTTTTTCTGACAGGCTCTCTCACTTTCTCAGTCCCTGACACAGCTTGCTTTTTCTTGCTTTCACACTTCGCCAGCAACTATTCATTCATTTTTTCCCCTTCATTGTCATTCATTCAATTCATCTATTCAATAAGGACTTATTGACTAACTTCCATATGCCAGGCACTGTTCGTTCCTTATACAAAGCCTCTGATCCCCGAATCCACCAAGATACCCTTTACTAAGTGCACTCATCTCCTTGTGTGACCATTGCTAGGTCTGTATCCACACAGAGCAGAGGAGGCCCAGGCCAGTGGTTAATCTGGGTCCCTTGCCATTGCTGGACTTCTGTAGATGGGAGCTGAAACAGTTTTTCTAGTCTACTAAGATTATGTTTAAGATGAAGCTTGCTGCCATGAAACACTCGAATGAGGTCAAAAATAGTTTCTAAACCAAACACAATCATTCTGTGACATGTTCTGTTGAACATTATTCTTGAAGTCTCAGGTTGCAATATGTCATAGAATTTTGCAAGAAATTCCTCCTAGGCCTGCCAAATTGGATGAAGATATTTCAGTCATCCGTGTGATGGTAAATTTAACCTTCCTCTTTTGAGAAGAAAGAATCAGCAGGTCTAGAAATGATTGTATAAGGGTTGAGTGAACCACTCAATACCTGAACAGAGAATTGCTTATGATATTAGCAATTGCAATCACTCATGAAAGAATCCTTCAACAAATGCAGAGTGGTGGTGAATTCCTCCAGGAAAGACTGTCAGATTGTTGTAAGATGCTTTCCCTGGAATGTAGTTAACTTAGCATTCTTTTCGTTATAAAGTTGTACTTTGTTTTGACACCCCTCCCACTTCCATCAAAAGAAATAATGAATACCAAAAAAAAAAAAAAAAAAGAAAAAAAGAAGAAATGGAGAATGAACTATTAGAAAAGAGAGAAAAATAAAAACATTAATTCACAAATGCCGGAGATGCTGGGCATAGGATGCAGAAGGGAGAATGACAGGGTGTTGGTAGAATTCATAATTAGTAATACTCTTCATGATACCATCATGAGACCAATCACAGTCTATTTAAGAGTGATTATGTTTCTCTATCATTCACTTTGAATGGGTTGTCTCAATAGACAAGGGAAGCCTTTCTTCGTGCTTACTAAATTGATGCTACCTGCCCTATTTCTCCCCCTAAAAAGGAGGAAGACCGCATTAAAAAGTTCTGCACAGATGATGAGAGTTTTAAAAAGCACCGCTAAGTTTGATCAGATTCATTACTTTGAATCTATTTCAGTAGGTAAAATTTAAGCCATTTTAATAAAGAAAGTAACACTTTGTGTTGATATATATGCACGAAAGTTCTAGTTGTAGATAATGCCTGACAGCAAGGGACAATTACATTCATAGAGATAAGATGAAGTAAATAAATTTGGCTCCAAAAGTTAACTGATAAATTTCCTTGTATGTAATATCGGATATAATTTTTTTATTTATGACTCCATATAAATATAAATAAGATACACGTTATAAACAGTAAGATGCTCCATTCCTTTATCTTCACATAAAAATTTATATTAAAAGACTCATTCAAAGAAAAATAACCTTCGCCGGGATATTACTTGTCTCAAATAATTGATAAATGCCTTCTTAAATCATGGCTTCTTAAAGACTGACATTGCTGCTATAACAAAGATATTAGTGTTCTTCCCTGGGATTCTCCCTTGCTAATACCCCTCTAGTCTCGGAAACCTCCTACTTTCAAAACACAACTAGTTTTTCTTGAGCTGACTTGTCTCTCCACTTGAAAAGAGTTACTTTTATTTAAGTCATCTTAGTTCAAGTTTTAACTCGGTACTAAATTAATTTCCAAAAATTCATACTTGACGTATATATCAATTCAATAGATTTTATTTTGCCATAAAGAATAGGTCAGTCCATATGTTATCTATATATGAAGTATTTCAGATATTTTTATTATCGCCTGTATCATTCAGGTTTAGGGAAGAGCTTTACTTAAAATTTTGGCTAATTGAGACCTTCTGGTTTATCAGCCTTTAATCTCAATATCATATCAACATGGTAAAAATTAGGCCACTTAATAGTACCTGTAAAATTACATTAAGATAAAATTTTAAAGTTTTCCTGCAAGTAAAAGACACTAAATAATGATATTTTTTTAAGAGATCTCATTTTTATTGTAAAAAATACAAATAAGCAAAAATAAGAGTCAAAATAATCCATAGTTTTACCACTCCAAATTAACCATCATTAATAACTTGAGGTATATATATGTATGTATTAAAGACTGGATGTATTTAATGATGTCTGTATTAGTCAACACATTTTTATGGTTTCATATGAAGTTCTTAAGTCCTGTTTGATGATGGTATCATGATTTTTTCATATGGAAAGTATGTAAAATTATTTTCTTTTTATAGACTCTAGTTGAGATTTTTCAAAATATTGGTGACACCAATCTCGCTGATTTCATTGCTGGATTACTCACCATTATCATCTGTATGGCAGTTAAAGAAATAAATGATCGATTTAAATACAAAATCCGAGTTCCTATTCCTATAGAAGTAATTGTGGTAAGTAGAATATGTAATTAGAAAATTAAACATTAATTAGATTGACAAGAAAGGAATTGTTAGAACAAATGCATTTTTTTAAACCTCTATTGTTTTATTTCAGACAATAATTGCTACTGCCATTTCATATGGAGCCGACCTGGAAAAAAATTACAATGCTGGCATTGTTAAATCCATCCCAAGGGGGTGAGTATGGCATTTCTCTTAGGCAATACTAATATATTAAGTCAGTACTTTCTATTTAAATGAAACCTTTTATTACAAGTTTCATTTCATTGGTGCTCATTCAATAGTCCTATTTGTGTATGGTCTTAAAGAAGTACCCTTTTGTGCAAACTATCAGATAAAAAGTATGTATGTAGATAAAGTTCAAACCATTAGTTTAAAAGAATCCCCCATATGTTCTCTCTTTATCCTTCATTTTCTTAAAAAGTGGCAGGACATGTACAGTTAGTTACTACCAGACTCCTGGTTTAAACTCGTATGTATAATCAGAATATAAATAGAATCAAGGTTAGTAACATTTTTTTGCACTGAGAATAATCTGCTTAAGAAATCAGGGATGTCTAACCTAAATTCTGCACAATTTAGTTTAATCAATCTTAGGTAGTAATTATGTCATTTGTTCCCATTAACGAAATGTATTATCTGCAAAGGAAGTTTTCTACACGTATGGTAGTTTGGTAAATTAGAAAAGTAAAGAAGTGAAGTCCTTTGTCCATCTTTGTCACCATCTAGTTCTGTGGCCCTGGGGTGGGGGTTTCTCCTATAAAATAAGGTTAATGACAAATGCTGAAGCCTCAATTTTAGCTGATTGTGAAACCCAATGAGATCCTTCATAAAATGCATAGAGGGGGCCACGTGCCCTACACTATAATTTTGTCACATGGCATTTACAAAGAAGCCCAAATGTTTATTAGGTTTGTAACATTAACATAGCATTTATGACTAGCTTTGCTGTTAAATACCAATAAATGTTAGTTTCCTCTCCCTTAATACTAGCTGAGGGACCTTGTACCAATCTTTGTTTTTCCATGCTCTTAATAGAAACTCCTCAAGCTAGCTGAGTTCCAGAGCTTATTCCACAGGGAACTGCTGCCTTTTCATTTGATCAATCTTATGATTTCTTCTCATATCTGTTCAAAAAATATTTGAAAAATTATAACTGGCTACATATTATCCTATCTAATATTTCTCAAACTTACCTTTTTTGTGAGAATCATAGGAGACCCTCATTAACAAATTCCTGGTTCTCACTCCAAACCTATTAAATCAGGCTTTCTAGAGGAGGGGCATGGGAATTATTATTTTTCGAAGATTCTTCAAGTGATTCTTATGATCAGGTATATTTTGGAAACTCTGCCTTAGAGGATGGACATTTTGATAGTGAATCTTAGCACTGGAAGGAACTTAATAAAAGATGTAGCATGGCTACTTGAGTCATGGCATTTTCACCCAAACAATTAGATTATTTGAGTAATTATAAACAACTACATAAAAATATATTTTATAGATCCCTTCTGTCAGGTTTCCTAAGATGTAACACTTAGAGGTGGTACACAGCAAATGTCCATGTTCCATTAATTGATATGGGGAACTCATTTTTTGCAGCCTTCAGTTATCCATTCTGGCCCTATCCAGAGCTTTCCTGGCTGCTCTTCTCCAGAAAATGAATCTCTAGCCTCTTGCTTTTGGATTTAGTCAAGCTGAATCCTCTGACAGACCACCTGGTATGATTGGTTGGTTAACCTAACCTGGCTCCAGGGACTCTAGCAACTTCACAAGGCCAGTGAGCCCATTTGTCTTATTTAGCTCTGGCTTCCTAGCACAGTACCTATCTCATATCAGGATCTCAGAAAATATTTGTTGAAGATATAAACTACCCAAGCCTATGCCATTATAAATAAACCACAAGAAAGGCCTTTGTTGCCTGTTCTCATGTGGTGGCAGATAAACAAGTCTAAAGACATCCACAAACCTGAAAAAGAAAGGGTGGCATGAAGAGATTAGAAAAGAGCAAGGAAAGTAGTGTTAGTGGTGAGTACTACAGAGCAAGAGGAGCAAAAAGAAAGATCGTGCTAGCCTACCTTTTAAATCCATCCCTGCTTCAAGCCTCCAATAAGAGTAAAAGCGAGGCCGCTGTTGGCAGCTCCCTCCTGTCTTGGTGAGTGTCAGTATCATACGTTAGGATTGCTTGGGCCCCAATAACTGCATTTCTATAAAAATATTATTCTACTTTACCATGTTCCTATAATTGTAGGAGGGAAAAATGTAATTTCCTATTAATAGAACTTCAGGCATAAGTGAGGTAGGTAGAGGAGATGTTTTTCCCCCCTAGAACCTCTGAAATTACACCATATAGATAGTCATCAAGATATAGGTCCATGAAAGTCATCCTACAAATTTTCATATTTGAAGACAACCACATGATTATAAACTTTTCTTTATATGGTTTGTAAAATAGCTCTGGTTTTGTCAAACAGTAGTTGTTTAACCCTATAATCATTGGGATATGTTAGTCACTGTGACTATGAAACATTTTGAATATTATATAAATTTAATTTTTTTTTGACTCAAAAAGATTTTAAATATCATAGCTTTTAAGATAAGGATTTTCCATTTAGCTCTTTTAGCATCTTATATTCTTTGTGTCTTTAACAGACCTGATATTCACTCTTTAGACAGAGTGAATCTCATTTTATGGCTACTATATCTCTTAAATTCAAGGATCTTTAAGATGAAATTATGTAAGGAGAAACATTATTGTGTGAAAGGGCATGGCATGGGATTGTATGATATTGAAGAATCAGTAATGACAGGTTTATTCATGTCAGAGATACAAATGAGGCATCATTTATAGGCTCTCAGAAGGAGACAAAGAAGTCGGCCAGTGAGATGGCACCAACTTTTGATTAAAAATTATAAAAGCAGATGCTACCACTTATACCCATGTGTTTTTGCCCCATTGGATCAAGTACTTTCACATCTAGCTTGTGGCTGGGTCGATTACCATTTGGTGAGGTGGGAAAAGAGGATTATGGTCAAAAATCTTCACAGTATTTCTCATTTGAAAACTCACTAGGTTCTTGCCTCCTGCACTGCCATCTGTGAGCTTGTTTTCTGAGATGCTGGCTGCATCATTTTCCATTGCTGTGGTGGCTTATGCTATTGCAGTATCTGTAGGAAAAGTATACGCCATCAAGTATGATTATACCATCGATGGGAACCAGGTATGATCATCCTTTTGCTGAAATGGTTTTGTAGGGCTGAACATAAGAAAAAATAAATAAATGGAAAAGATTTTGTTGTCTGCTAAAGAAGAGATTGGTTTCTTCCACCAGTCTTTATTGAGTTGGTTTCCCTCTTATGCGTGCTGATTTGAAATTATTTTAAAATATGCATGCAGCATCATGTTACTTTTTAAGACATAAGTTGAAGTCATCCAAATTTTAAAAGAGTTAATTCAGTCAGGTCATAAATAACATTTAAAGTTAACATATTAGGTCAGAATAAGAATTCTTCATGTAATCCCATGTTTCCTGGTCATTTTTTTTTTTAATGACAGCTATAATATGGCAAAAATGGTGCAACAAATGCTGTTAATAATAGTTGTGGCCACTTTAAATTGAGGTGATTCACTATGCAATTAATGTACACAGGACAATTTTTGTAGGCATGTGATACACTGCCAGGTGACCTCAGAGATATAGTTATGGTATGTTTCTGAAAACACAGCATAGCAATTATAACAGTTAAATGATTAGTGATCAAGCAAAATAATAGCTCTCCTAGTCATATCCTTTATAGTAAATATTGAACCACAGAGAAAACACTTTATGTGAGAGCAGAAAAAAGTTTTATGTGAGAGCTACAGCAGGTATGCCACTCACCAGGAAGTGAAATAAGCATTTTAACAAAAGATCAGTTACTATTCCTCATTAATCTTAAAAATGATTGAGAGCAGGGAGGCCTCTCTTAGGCTCTAAGGACCCCCAAATCCTGATGTCTTTCAAGACCTCCAGGTACCTTTCATGGTAAAAATTAAATTGGGACTACCAGGCCAGGCAGGTTTGGGAGTGTGATTTCCTAACGTTCTTCCTTAAACACTTGGTGAGGGTCTTGCCAAAATTATATTTGTAGCATCACTATCATCCAGTCTCTCCCTTAGGAATTCGTTGCCTTTGGGATCAGCAACATCTTCTCGGGGTTCTTCTCGTGTTTTGTGGCCACCACTGCCCTGTCCCGCACTGCTGTCCAGGAGAGCACTGGGGGAAAGACACAGGTATGGAACGACAGCATGGTAATATCCATCTCCTGCAAAGAATGACTCAGGGGAATGGTGGCTCAGAAAGGACTGCACGAGAACCGAGCAGGACAGCTAGCCTTTGAGAAGAGTGACCTGCTTCCTGATCTGGTTCCACTGGGGGCCCCCATTTTTTCTCCCTCGACAAAAACCTGTTAAACTACAACATTTATGGTTTTCTGAAGCAGCAATTCTCAAATCTCTTCATGTCAGTGCTGAGCTGGCAGACAGTTACACTTACCTGCTTTTCCAGGGACAATCACAATAGACAAAGAATCATTAATAAAGAGTGCTGATTCTTATCAATTTGTTATCTGGGGATAAAGAAGGCCTGGTAAAAGCACATTCATGGCTTAGTGAGGTTATTGTATTTTCAGAAAAATTAAAAGCGCTTATTTACATTTCCTTTACGAGCATCAGGAACTTTCTCCAGAGGCTTTTGGTCCCACAGAATGACAGTCTGCTAGCCAAGAATATTTTTGTTGTAACATTCTGACATTTCTTCCTGAGTAAGATTTTTGTACCTGTAATTCTGAATGTGGATTTAACTTTGCCTTTTATATGTGGTTTTAAGTTGTTGCTTTCACAAGGTGACCCCAAAACCTGCATCTCAGTTTATCTCTGGACAACCCCTCCTTTAATTGTCCAGAAAACTCAGGAGTCATTCTCAAAGGCCATCCTCTCCAGCCAGACATGGCATCAGAGATGCCAAACCAAGTGGATGGAGCAAGGGGTAGGCTTGGGAATTATGTTTCTCTTATGCCTGGAGAGTTTTCTCCTCTCAACACAGAGAAAGCTATTATTTAAGAGTAAAACGTACGTCAAGACTACAAAGGAGAACAAATCCAAAGTAAATGGTTTAACACACACGCGCGCGTGCACGCACACACACACACACACACACGCTCTTCAAACAGGATTTTTAAGTCAGAGACACTACAAATAAGTATAAAAGAGAATGACTGAGAAACTAATGACTTCCAAAGTGGCTTGCTCAGGGAGAGCTTTAATTGTCCTCAAGGTACATGTGATGCTCCTTTCCCATTTATAATGAATCTTTGTGACAAGGCTGGAAGAATAAGCCTCTTCAAATTTCTTGGCTCTTGTTGAATGAAAATTTAATTTTAATTTTCAGAATTTTTCTTTTTAAAATTGAGGGCTTTTTTATTCTTTTTTTTTTTTAATTTTGCCAACATTTCTAGCTTTAAGGGAGCAAGTAAAACAATACAGCCCATACCAGAAGGCATAACCAGAGACCTGTGGTCAAGGGGAAGAGGTCAGAGGTGATTTCCAAAGCTACACCCATGTTTAAGGGCAGCTGTCAGCAGTGAAAGTTTCTGCTGCTTTCATTTGAGATAGAGCATTGACAAGCTCCCCAGGCACATGGCTGTAAGAGGGTGCAGGCAGAGCCCCAGCTGCTGATGTCCACTGTCCTGCTTTCACCGCCAGGCTCAAATAAGGCACAGGCTGGACGCCTCAATAAGAATGCCCATGTAAAGTGATTCTTTGGCAGAGTATTTGGGGATAATGGTGTTCTGGTAAGGTAATACCCACTGCCACACACTGGCGTGTATTATATTTAGGAGTGAAGGATGCCAGATTTCAGTATGAAATGAAATAAGCACAGAAATGGCTTGATATTTAATTACTGGAATGTATACTAAGTTCTGGGGCTAAAAGTCTTAGTGCCTAGATTGAAATCCAGGCACTCGTGACCAAACGAACTGGCAAGTCTTCTCTTGTTGTGTGGCTTCTCACATTTGCTTTTCTGTTGGAGCCTCAGCTTCAGCATCTGTAGAATGGGCATGATAATTATATCTACCTCATAGGGATGTTGTGAAGATTAAATAAGAAAATGTTCATAAAGTCCTGGCACATACATACTTATAAATGGTCATGGTTCCAGTCATTAACTCCTCAAGGTAAGAACAGTGTCTTAGTACCTATGATACACATATTGTACCTGACACAGAAGCACCCAGCATATATTTGCTGAATGACAGAATAGAACATTGAGTGCTAGTGGACATGAACTGTTTCTAGCATATCTACATATTGTAGAAAAGCTCAACTTTGCAACCTGTTTTTTCTCTCACCCTCATCTGACTCCTACTGATTCATGAAAAAGGAATTCTGATTACAAACTATTCTCTAGCTCTGATTATCCTCTTACTTAACAGAATAATTAATTTTCTAGTAATTAAATCTGCTCATAGATAAAAAATCTATAGCATTTCTCACGAACCATGCTTATAAAGTACAAGTAAAGGGCCCCTCACAGATTTTAATATAGTAACCAAAATTAGTCTTAGTTGCCATGATTGGAGGCTTATTATTACATATACTTGATGACTAGGTGGCCGTCCACCTGGCATGAGTTGGGCAGCTGGCTGTGGTCCCTGTCCCCTAATCTTTCCATATCTCTCACTGATTCATAGAGTCCTACATCCACAATGAGTTGCAGGTGGCTCATGATAGACAATAAATATTGGTTGAGCAGTTACATGGACAAAAGGAAGAAAGGAATAGAGTGGGGAGGTGGCGGGGATATTAGCTTCTCGGCTTAGAGAGGAGAATGGAAAGCTCACCAAGGTACTGGGAATCTGGAGCTGTGGTGCTAGGAGGTAAAAACCTTCCTAGGAGAAGGGATCTAGATGAACGAAGCAAACTTTTTAGTACATCATCATATAAATAATAGTGCCTCAGGTTGACCTAGCTATACTCTGAGCATGATCAATTTGCCAGGTGGAGTGAAGGAGTGTGACTGTGAAACTTCCTTCAAATTTTTATCTGTCTCCTTTAACTCAAGCATCTTACGAGGCAGTACTCGTGCCCAATACAACCTTCTCTGTTGCTCCCTTTCTGATTGCTTTGCTTTTGGTTTCCTGTCTCCTTTTCTCCTTTGTTTCAGAGCTCCTAGTCTTCACCTCAGCCATGCCTCAGCTGTCTCAACAGAGAATTCATTTGTGCTCTAATCAAACCAGAGAATAGTCCCTACCCCCTCAGACTCTCTCCTAACTATATATGGATTTTAGGAGAGATTTTTTTTGCCAGTGAAGGTAAAGTTCCTGAAGTTTCCTTTATCCTTGCTATTGCCTTTTATCACTAAGGCTACAGAGGGCAAATTTCTGAGTCTGCATCTGTGCAACTGTTAGAGGAAGCAGGGAACATAGTCCCATCTTTCAGTAGGCTCATGTGGCATTTCAAGTTTGCAATAGGACTGGTAAATTCATTGTCTCTGAGACCTTGGTGGCAACCATGTGCTACAAGTACAGAGTGTTATCAGAATTGCTATTATAGCTGCTGATTCAACAGTGCAGAATAATCAGATATGTGCTATGAGAATTTTTTTCCCCCAAAACATCATCGTGATCTGTTGTTGGAGGAGAGGGATGGTCCATGTTTCCTGGTATGGCAAATAATTAGAAGTTTGGCCTCCTGAATTGACACTAAACTAGAGGTCTCGTGTATCCAAATGAAGCACAGGTCAAACTGACTTTACTCAAACGGACACAGTCTCTACATTTTCTCTAATTTTTCTGCCTTAGCTACTATATATACAGTTTCCAATTTTCTTCAGCTTTGTAGAATTTTAGCAAATAATTCTCATTTCTCTCAACAGTATTGAATAAAAGTGGGGAGGTCAGAAAGTGTCAAGAGCAACCATGAACAGGCTCTCTGACGTGCACATCCAGCAAGGTGGGCGACATGAGGGAGAAAGAATTTTGTTCACGGGAGATGTGTGTCTTTCAGATTGCTGGCATCATCTCGGCTGGGATTGTGATGATCGCCATTGTTGCCTTGGGGAAGCTCCTGGAACCCCTGCAGAAGGTATAATCCTGCTTCACGGTATACTGATTGCATAATTTCCCTGCTCTGCCACTGGAGAAATAACAAGAGATTTATAAATCATCACATTGAAAACCATTCCCCTAAATAACACAGGCTTCTCTGTCTCTTTTGGCAGTCAGTCTTGGCAGCTGTTGTAATTGCCAACCTGAAAGGGATGTTTATGCAGGTGTGTGATGTTCCTCGTCTGTGGAGGCAGAATAAGATTGATGCTGTAAGTCACCCATTTTTCTCTGAAATAAGATTTGGTTATAGTGTTTCCTGCCATATCATTATGATCCCTTATCTCCTAAGTCTTACATTTTGGGAGCCGAAGGCAGAAGTCTTCCATGTGAACTGTGTTTTTGAAGGTCCTGTATCTCTGGGAAGATCCATTTCCAGCAAAAATCCCATTGGAGCTCATTCATATACCGTTGGCCTTCTAGAGTCAAAGACAAACAAATTAAAACAACAACAACAACAACAACAAAACCCTCTAATTTAGAAGGACAAACAAAACAAAACACAAAACAAAGCAAAAGCAAAATACAAAAACCGTGTTGGTTATAATTTTGACCACAGCAACCTTCACAACTGCTCTGAGGAATTATAAAAACCAGAAGCTAAATTCTTTAGAGTTATGCTCTGATTAACTAGAACAGATGAAAAAAAATGAGAAAACTTCCTATATATCGATTTGAAAAGATTTCCAAGACAAATTAAGTGAAAAAAAAGAGACTAGTGCAGAATAAAATAGTGCTTATAATACACTAAAAGACATGAAAGTAAAACATGCTTCGTAGTCATATTTGTTTGTACTTGCAAAAACTTTTGCTGGCGAAAAGGGTGTATGTGTTTGTGTACACGAACACATTCAAAGAGAGAAATAGAAGAGGATACAAGTAGGGAGGGATGTTGGGAGTAGGTGAAGAAGGGAGAGGGTTGCAAGTAAGATTTTTTACCGCACACTCTTTTGATAGTAATTTCATTTTGAACTATGTCAATACACTATTCAAAAATTAAATAAAAAAAATATTTAAATAAGGCAGTTGGTCTTTATTGGGAAGTCCAATTTCCACTTCCACTTAAATATGAAATGAAATCAGAACATTTAAGACAAAAACTGTATAGTCAACCTGGCAACAACTTTAAGCTGTGTCTTTGCTGCTTTCACTCCACAGATGATCTGATTGGGGCACCAACCCCCTCCCACAGTGAAAATTCCATGTATAACCTTGACTCCCCAAAAACTTACCTACTAATAATAGCCTGCTGTTGACTAGAAGCTTTACCGATAACATAAATAGTAGATTAACACATTTTGTATGTTATATGTATTATATACTGTATTCTTATAAGAAAGAAATATAGTAAAGAAAATGTTAAGGAAATAATAAGGAAAATACATTTACAGTATTTACTGAAAAAAATTCACGTATAAGTATACCCGTGCAGTCCAAACCTGTGTTGTACAAGGATCAACTGTAATTTGTGGACAATTGATTTTATTTTTTACAAGTAATCTCTCACCAGATGGTACATAATGAATTAATATGATTCTTTTTATTTCTTTTTTTTCTAGGTTATCTGGGTGTTTACGTGCATAGTGTCCATCATTCTGGGGCTGGACCTCGGTTTACTAGCTGGCCTCGTGTTTGGATTACTGACTGTGGTCCTGAGAGTTCAGTTGTGAGTAATATGAGACCCAGGTTACCTGTAAACAGGACAACACACTCTGAGATTTCTTATGTCATTTTGATATAGTAAAATCACTCCATTATATAGTTACTGTATATTGAATGCTTCTAGAGTTAAGCACACATTATCAGACTTAATCTTAAAAAAAAAAAAAGCCTGTGAGTAGGTTTTATTATTTTCATTAAACAGGTAAGAAAATTGAAGCTCAGAAAGGTTAAGAACCTTCTCCAAGGTCATGTAGCTAGTAAGTGGAAGAGCAGGATTTGAACTCAGATGTATCTCACCCCAAAATCTATGCACTTAGTCACCTGTCCTACTGCTGGTGCTCTCCTCCTAGTCATGGTAAGACCAAAAGATAAATGATTCAGCAAAAAACTGAGGTTGGTTTGCAGTTTTTTTTTTTTTTTTTAATGAGATGGTCTGTGAAGCACTGGGCCCAAGGCTTGAGATAAGATAGTTGCTAAATATATTATAGCTCATCTTCTTTTGAAGCTAGTAACCTAGAAGTCATGTAACTCAGAACAGACTTTAAAACAGTTAATTGTAGCCAAATAAGGCATGTACCCAATAAGCCACATAATTATGAAGAAAACAATCAGATCATCTGCAGAGTGAAAGCAGCAAAGACACAGCTTAAAGTAATGGAAAACCATTTGCTAGGCAGCCTGCAGAGGTATGTTTTTTGTTGATTTTGTTTTGGCTCTTGAGAGGCTTTTGTTGTGTCCTATTCTGGGTTTAAGAAATTGTCTGAACAGAGAGGGGAATAGGGCTTCTCTCCTTCCTCAAAACTTATCTTTCTAGACTTCTGGCCTCTTCTCTGCCTGTGCTTGGGTGGTGAAGGAAAAAAACCTGGAAAAACAAACATGGTTTTTTTTTTGCGCATAAGCCCACCTTTCCTGTTCCATAAGTAGTTCTTCTCTTCTGTCTTCCCTCCCTTGAAGTGTTGGAGCCTACAAAAGGCTTATGTTTACTGCCTCGGTGCCCTTAAATGGTGCCCAAGGGCCTGAAAGTTTACAAGCTCTCAAAGTGCCCAGTTTGCTTCTGTAAAATAACTCAGTAACTGTCCTTAAAAGAGGCTGTCTCTCGTGCTCTGCATGCCTCAGTGTTTACTTTTTCTTGTGTGGGTATGGTTGGGAAAGAAGGATTCTGTAGAGAGAGACTATATAGTTTATGAGCTTTAAGTTAAAAATCAGCACAGCACAATAAGCTGTGACACGTTTTAGCTATTAATTTTAACTAGGCTTTTAGCTAACAAAAAGCAGTATCCTCCACAGTATTTAATATCCAATAATTATAAGGCTGATGCAGAGAGCACTTTGCTGAGAGTACTCCAAACAGATACTCTTTCTTCAGGAATTGCACTTAGCATATGTCCCTGGTCACACTTGAAGAACCATGGAATTTATTTGATTTCATTAGGAACAGGAAATGAGAAGGACTTATTTTTAGTCCTCCTACTTTCTTATTTCTATAAAATGAAACTAATTTGATCACCGTAGACTCTCCATACTTCATCATAAAGTTGCAATAACTCACTGGTAAGCTCCAGGCACAGTGCCCGGCACTGTAAACCAGTGCATTAAAGATAGAAGCTGGGCTGCCTGTGACCTCTGGGGCCTTTTCCGACTTCTCTGAACCTTAGTTTACTCACCAGTAAAAATGAGGATCATACTGCTGACCTTCAGGGTTATGTTAGATAAGGTTTAACAGGTGTGAAAGCTCTCTGCTTATCCTATAATGTGTTATACTCATGGAAGTATGATGCTCATTATTTCTCTCGGCCATCAGGAAGAGTCACGTTTCCTCCTTTTCCTCCAGTTCCACACAAACACCAGATGTTCATTTCAGAATTAGCTATAGGAAAATGTCATCTGCAATAAAGACAGAGTCCAAAAACATCAGAATGATGGGCTCTTTAGCATTTGTTATTTCTTCTAACTTTTTATTCCAAAATATGCCCGTTCTAAGAAATCCTGACCTTAATTTTTCTTTTAGTCCCTCTTGGAATGGCCTTGGAAGTATCCCGAGCACAGACATTTACAAAAGTACCAAGAACTACAAAAATGTGAGTGCCTCTGAGAGACGCGTGCTGGACTTAGGCTTGCTAGCCTGGATATTCCAGGATCACATAGTTCTCTTCCAGTCTGTTAGGGACAAGAGAGGTAAAGGAGGGGCTTCTGTCAGGAAATTCCAGAAGTTCACTGGGGTATCATGAAAACTTTTAACTCAATGTGCCCTCTGATATGCATGGTTTACATGAATTTTGTCCATGCTAATTGAATGTAATTTTAATTTCAAACCACTGTAAGAGGAATTTTTAAAAATTCAATTATTTCCAGTTGAATCGAGTTCTATCTCTCTACGAGCCTCTCAGGGCCTCAGTCTTCTCCTCTGACCTTGCTGGACTCAAATTGTTATGATTCCTAAAGACTAGAAAGGCCAGTGATTCTATGGGTTTTACTTTGGTCTGGTCACTCTGTGTCAGGGTAAGAACAAGCAAATGACATTGTTGGCCTCAGTTCCTGCAGATCCTCTTGCTTTTGCTACTTTTCTTTTCTTAAGAGAATTTTAGGGGGAAAGAAAGGGCCAGTGGTATGAACCTGAGGCAACTCGTGTCATCATTCGGAGCCTGTTTCTTCATCATGAAATCAGAGGGTTGAATAATTGCTTTCTAAGGCCCTTTCTAACTTGACCTTCTATGGCACCGGTCCTCAACCTCTTTGGCACCAGAGGCTGGTGCTCCTGTGACAATCTAATGCCTGATGACCTGAGGTGGAGCTGAGGCAGTGATGCTAGCTCTGGGGAGCAGCTGCAAATAGAGATGAAGCTTCTTTCGCTTGCTTCCCAGCCTGCTGCTCAGGCTATTAGGAACCTGTGTGGCCCAGTTCCTAACAGGCTACAGACTGGTACTGGTCTGCAATCCTGGGGTTGGGCACCCTTGTTCTATAGACTGTGAAGATTCAGGAATTTGGGTAACATACTGCCTCCCAACTGGGATGAAGACCCTATTTAAGGAAAGTTGAGTGCTGCTGCCCAGCTCCTCTGAGCAATTGCATCTCAGCTCTAAGCTGAATAGCCAGAAATTTAATTGAATGTTTGAAGCATGAAATAATTTAACCTCAATTTTTTTAATGTTAGATTGAAGAACCTGAAGGAATGAAGATTCTCAGGTTTTCTAGTCCTATTTTTTATGGCAACGTCGATGGTTTTAAAAAATGTATCAAGTCCACAGTAAGTATTTTATCCTTAGAAATATGATTCTTAACCTCTTTTGAAACTTCATTCATTCTACAGGTATTTATTGAACTCAAAGCGGGGCATAAGGCTCTCTACCCTTTTCCCTTTGTATAATTAAGAATTATAACATCCTTGCCTTCAAATAACTTACAATCTATTAGAGAAAGGAAAAAAACAACCACACATACATTAAACTCCAGGTAGCGATAACTATGCTGTACAAAAACATGAGTTGCCTCTAGACAGAGTTTGAGTAAATTCCAAGTGAATAGTATGGACAGTATGTGTTAAGAGTTCATAGAAGAGAACAATCCACGTCAGTTGGACTCATCAAGCTTTATGTGGCAGTTGGGCAAAAGGAATGAAATTATATCCGGTATTTGAGAACTATGTAAGATGAGAGGAAAAGGTAGAAATATGTATTGGGGGATGATTGCCCAGTTGGAGTAAAGGGTTAAAAAGTATAAGTGGAACATGGAAGCAGGAAAATCTGGTCTAGAATTCTACTCCATGCCTCAAAATTGGGTTTTGCCTCTAGATCAGTGTTTTACCTAGTGAGTTCTAGGGTGAACTGGTTCAGGGGCATATTCATAGATTTTGCAATTAAAAAGAAAAAAAGGCTCTGTGATGTCAAGGAAATTTGGAAAACATAGTCTTAAAGCTAAAAAAGATATTTTTGTTGCTGTTTTGTTTTTCACGGTCTTGGAATCTTTAATATGCTACTGTCTTCCTTGCATCTCTCAGGTGGGTGAGATAGGGTGGCCTGGTGGAGGAGACCTCCAGCAGACCTCAGAATTTCTTATTTGGCAGAATGTCTCAAGGAGTAGTATCACTTGAGAAATACCTTTCCAGGTAGCAATTGCCATTAATGAACATTAGGAAACAGATGTTTTTAGTAACCTGATATTTATTTTCAAAGGTTGGGTTTGATGCCATTAGAGTGTACAATAAGAGGCTGAAAGCATTGAGGAAAATACAGAAACTCATCAAAAAAGGTCAATTAAGAGCAACAAAGGTGAGGCAACATCTTTCATATCCCCCTTAAATTCTTTCCTTTCTCAGGTGAAAATGAAATCAGTTAGATAGTCTAAAATTAAATCTATCCCTTTTGGTACCCAGATATGTACAGGCAGATGACATACATTTGTCAGAGAATGGCTGAGTTGTTCTTTTAGGCAAGAGGGTATGGGACAAAATAAATTAAATCAGCAGAGTTCCTTGGAAACACAGGGTGTGATTATTATTTTTTTTAATCATGAAATAAACCTTATTTTTACTGAAAGGAACAAAACAAGTGCTAATTTAATGCCTGAAAATTGTAATAGAAGGCAGTAAGTTCATAACCTTTTAGAACTATTACCTTTTATTCAGACTTTCCTGCCAATGTGTCTCTTGGCCAAGTTCCATAATCTTCCAGAAATCAAGTTTCCTGGCTCCTCTGCTCTTCTATTTTTCTTCCTAGAGAACATCAAAGTTTGGACTGAGGTGAACCTCATTCCTTAAGAGTTCTTCCCCTTGATGTTTTGCTTACCAAGGAACAGTGTGCAGGACTTTTAAGTAATTTGAAATGAATTGTTGAAAGACATCCCAAGTCATTGGCAATTAAGGTGGCAGTATTTTCTTTGTTTAGAATGGTATTATAAGTGATGCTGGTACAACGAATAATGCTTTTGAGCCTGATGAAGATATTGAGGATCCAGAAGAACTTGATATCCCAACCAAGGAAATAGAGTTTCAAGTGGATTGGAATTCTGAGATTCCAGTGAAAGTGAATGTTCCCAAAGTGCCAATCCATAGCCTTGTGCTTGACGGTGGAGCTGTATCTTTCTTGGATGTTGTTGGAGTAAGATCATTGCGAGTGGTAAGGTTCTGGTGTTTTAATTATAGATTTGGAGCTTTGGCAATAGTAAAATGATATGGGTTGCCCAGTCTTGCAGAAAGATGATTGATTGCATGGGCACTGTAATTTTTCTATGGGAATGCTTTTGCAATAGATTGTCATATTTTAAAGCACAGGCTATGGAGCCAGACTATCTGGGGTTGAATCCTGGCTCTACCACTTGCTGTAGTGTGAGTATGGGCAAGTTGCTTAATCTATCTGTACCTCAATTTCTTCATCTGTAATATGAGGATAATGATGGGACCTACTTCATAGGTTTTTTTTTTGAAGATTATATATGTGTATGTGTGTATATGTATATATTTATATGGTTTAGAAGAGCATCTGGCACACAATGATCTCTCAGCAAATATTAATATTTATTATGTTTTGTTTTCCCGAGAATATGTAGATAATGGAATATAAGAAGGAAAAATGGGCAAAAGTTTATGTTAAGCATTATGTTTTTATTTGTTATGTGAACAGTAGCAGAATGAGGAATACCAAGTACATGGTAGGACTGGAAAAGACACATATTATTAAGAGGTTAGAGCATCTGGGAAGTCAAAGGGTTGAGAAGCCTGTAGGACAGAAACATTCATAATATCAGACACAAGTTATGCAAGCTCGAGTTCAGTCTTTCAGCAAATACATGTGAAATGCCTAATATGTGCCAAGCACTTAGCCGGGCACAAGAGACAAAGGATGAAGTAGTCATAGTGCTTATCCTTATGGGACTAAGCATTCTAGAGGGAAAGGTAAACATTAAGTAATCTTTTAAATAACAACTATACCAAGTGCTCCAAAGCAGACTAACTAGGGTACCGACTTGACCAGGAATGTCAAGTTTAGGTAAAGCTTCAGGTAAGTATCAAGAAAATCAGGCAAAAAAGTAAGCAGGTTCAAGGCATCAACAATGAGATGTAATAATATGAAACTGACCCTTATCTGAGGTTTAGCTTAGCTGGGGCTTCTTGGCTACCTTTCCAAGGGCAGGAAATGATTCCAGGGTGAGGGGAATTAGCAGGTAAAGTGGAAGAGAGATATTTGACTAAGGAGTGTGAGAAAATGCTGACAGTCTCTCTTCCAGTTCTCTTAGTAGACCTGGTTATTAGCTTATCTGAGAACATACTCTTGTTCTTCATCGTGCATTTCACTCTAGGCATTGGCGCAAATGCATTGTAGATTGTGTTGGCCAAAGTGTTTAATGAATTACTTTTGAGAAGAGTCTTAATGTTTAATGCCAAAATATTTTCCACACCTAACAAATAATTGATTTCAAGTGCTGTAATGACATTTATGAAAACTCCAAACTTTATATTTGCATAGAGGTCTTGACCTTTCCTCCTCTTCCTCCTCCTCCTCCTCCTCCTCTTCTTCTTCTCCTCCTCCTCCTCCTCTTCTTCTTCTCCCTCCCCCTCTCCCCACTCCTCCTCCTCTTCTTCCTCCTCTTCCTCTTCCTTCTTCTTCTTCTCTTCCTTCCTCCTTCCTCTTCTTCTTCTTCTATTTCAATTTAACCCAGCATATTTATTGAGCACATTCTCTGTGCCAATACTGAATGTGCCAGTACTGTTTTAGGTGCTGGAATTAAAGTGATGAAAAAGGTAGATATGGACTGACCTTGGGTAATTAGATAATTTATCATCTAACCCGGGACACTTTTGAGAATGAAAGTGAGCACTATTAGTTGTGCTGAGTGAACTGGTCAGCTATTGTCATAATAATGCTGCATAATACCACCCAAAAGCAAGCAGCTTACAACAGTCATTAATGTATCTTGCTCATGTGTCTGTAGGTTGAGTGGAAAAGCTCTGCTTCAGGCTGAAGGTTGGCTGGGCTTGGTTCCAGGCTTCAGGTTATGTACAGGTTTCCACAGGTCTGCACATTCCCTTTAGATCGGAAGCCACCCGGGGCATGTCCTCACACAGTGAATCGCAAGAGCACAAGCAAAGAAGTGGAAACACAGTACCTCTTAAAGCATCACTGACATCATATCTGCTAGTGTTCTAGTAGCCAAAGAAACCCCACAGCCAAGCACAAACCCATGTTGCCAGGAAGTATACTCTTTCTTAAGGGGAGAGGAGTTAACATTTGCTGAATAGCAATCTAACCCACCACAGTGAGACAACAGGTATAAACCAGGACTGTTCCAGGACCGTTCCAGCTGGACCTGTGGTCTACCCTAGTCTAATATGGGGTTTATGATCTAGCAGGGAAGACAGATAATGTGTAGTTAATTGTAAGTGTGATATGGGTTACAATAAGGCATATGGATTGTGAAGTTCTATTTTATTATTGCCCATAGGTCTTGTATTTTGAATTTTGATATTAAACTTTTCATTCTGAGATAATCGCGATTCCCATGAAGTTGTAAAATATAATACAGAGAGATCCTCTGTAACCCTTACTGACTTTCTCCCAATGCTGATATCTTACAAAACTATTGTACATAATCACAATCAGGATACTGACACTGATACAGTCAAAACACAGAGCCCTTGGTCCCTTTTTACACTCGGAATCTGGTGGTCACCTATCTGCACCCATATATCTTCCACTCAAAGATATAGACTCGTACTCTTGTCTCTGATCTGCAGGGGTTATATTAGGAAGCCGCCTGTACTCCCTTCTTTTCTTCCTTCCACAAATATTTACTAAGCACCTTTGTGCTATTGAGTGCTGCACTACTGAGCACTGGATGTTGCCACATCCTGAGATAACAGTCTTTTTATCCCTAATCATATCTTCACTGTAGGTTGAAAACATCTGTTGTTTTCTGATAATGAACTTTCATCAAAGTCCTGATTAACCATGAAAATACTGAAGTTTCTCCTGAGCAAGTAGCTGAATGCTACTAAATTATGGACAGATAAAGTTACTCAAATTTTCCTTTTAAAATTTTTAGATCGTCAAAGAATTCCAAAGAATTGATGTAAATGTGTACTTTGCATCGCTTCAAGGTAAATGCGCATGTGGATGTATCTATCTATAAGACTTATCCCTAAGTCCTTTCTCCTACCTTGGAATGTAGCTACATCATGACCAAAACCTTTAAAAAAATATATTTTTTTATTGTGATAAAAAATGTATAATAAAATTTGCCATGTTCGTCACATTCAAGTATACAATTAATTCAGTGGCATTAAATACACTTACAATGTTGTGCAACCATCACAACTGTCTATTTCCAAAATTTTTCATCTCCACAAACAGAAACTCTACTCATTCACTGAGGGCCTTTTTGAACCTAAAAAAGGTATTACTTCCAATTTGTGCCATAGAACTGGTAATGCATGGAAACCTACGTCCTGACAGCAGTGCTGGTCAATGGGGAAGAATTATGATGGGAGGGCAGAGCTGGAGATGACTTAGACCCCTTAAAACTGGAGGATCCTCCAGGGTATGATTCTGTGTCTGTCTATGTATACGTGTGTAGGAAAATACTAGTGCTTAGGCTGAGTTCTCTAGAAGCAGAGACTGGGATAAGGATTCTTATATAAGTGATTTATTGAGAGAGTGAAATCTGGAAAAATTCATGAAGGAGTGAGGGGAGCAGGACAGGGCAGGGGAAGAAGCTGAACAAAGATATGGTTGCAAAAGTCTACTGTAGCCTGATTTCACAAGGAGCACACAATGGGAAGAGCACCAGAGGGTTATTCCTTTTTGATGCCAGTGAGCTGGCCTTTTTACCCCCATATCAGTCCGTCAGTGGCTGTAGGCCGCCCAAGAGTGAGAATGTAACCTCCCAGGTCTTTTCAGGTGAGGTAGCTCCCAAAGGCCCAGGAAAGTTCTCCAGAGAAGGCCACAGCTGTGAACCATTAGCAGCCAAGCTCACAGCAGCTGGAGGATGGGACCCTGACAAAAGGGACCTGGTCAGGAACCAAGGCTGTTTACTACAATCAGTTATGGTAAACCATGCCATGTGCCACCAGAAAACAAACTCCGGTTAGAGCACGGGCACATTTTTGAAATGAGAAAAAGGAATTAAAAGGAGATGCTACAGAAGCTTAGTATTGGTTGATATTACAAAAATATCTTTTCCTAGAGGCTAAACATTCTCTCTTTCTTTTGAAGATCATGTGATAGAAAAGCTGGAGAAATGTGGTTTTTTTAATGATAACAGAAAGGACATATTCTTTTTGACTGTCCATGATGCCGTCCTCCATGCACAGAACCAAGTGAAATCCCGAGAGATTCAAGATTCCATTTTAGAAACGGTAAACGTCTAACTTTTCTACATATGCATCTTTCCTAAACCATTATTTCTGTAAATGACAAAAATTCCATAAACTTAGGTTTGAATCCCAGCCTAGTGAGATGTTAAGCCATCTGCTTAACTTCTCAGAGCCTTAGTTTTCTAATCAGTAAAATGGGAGTAAAACATTTCTTTCACTTGGTAGATATGAAGACTAAATATGACAATTTATAGGAAAGCACCCAGGAGAACCTAGTGCATATTAGTTCTATAATACGTGGGTTTTCTAGTAAAAATAGGCATTAACTATAGTGCCTTTTCACAATATAGGCCCTGAATCTTAGGTCTTCTGAGATTTGTATATACAAATGCAATTTAAATTCTTAGCAATCTAGAAACTCTTCATTATAAATGCCTTTAAATAAGATCTATTAGGTCATAAGTGATCTTTGAAAAAGAAAAGTAATTAAAAGCCATGAATCAGCCCAGAGTTAATTATCCCCCACAAAATAGAATAGATGCAGATTTCTTATGGGCCTCTTTCTTTTGTCAGTTAGCCAGGAGAGTTGAGCAGTCTGGGCTGGGCCTACTGGTCGGCCTAGTACAAGAACTTCTTCTCTTATGGGCCTTCCCATAGTGAATTTGGGAAACTAAATACCTATAAAAATAACAACAAATAATTATTATACCAGTGACATAGTCTTATATTTTAAATTGCTTCCCTTTTTTCTAAAATTAGGGTAAGTAGATTCATATCCTAAAGTGGAAGTTAATGTCTGAAGTAAAACTAATTTAGAAAACAATAGTACATTATTCTTTTCACCTGTTTTTAGTGGGGAGCTTGCTCTGCTTAATGTTGCTGGAGAAAATACTAGTCCCAAATACGAAGATCTGGATCTTACATTAAAAAAGAAAAGTAGTAAAACCACAAATCTAAAAAAAAAAAAAGAAAAGAAAAAAAGCTACATGCAAGATGCTCATCTTTGAAAACTCATAAACCTTTATCTTAAAATTCTCTAACCCATAGGTAACAATAAAGCAGGATCATAAAAGTATTTTAAAAAGACCCTACATTAAAAGTAAAATAGAACCAAGATGTCAAGTATGCTCTCAACATGAAAACAGTTATTTTGTTATTTGTTCACATCCTATCTGATCCAGGATCTCAGATCCCATGAATGTCACAAAAACCACTAACCAAGAGTGCACTACCAGCTTTAGACTCAACCTTGTTTGTAATCAGGGAGGCATTGTGAGTGGCCAGGATGGATTTTTTGACCCTGAACAAATGTCAGACTGAGTATAACTGAGTGTTCATATTATATACTTACAGCTTCACTGGATAGTGGGTTGAGCACTACTGTGGCCTGTCAGGTCAGGAACCTTACACTCCTTGTACCTCCAGTATCTAGCACTAAGCCCTGTATAGCACATGTATAGTAAATGGTGATAACATGCATCTGTAGTAATTTCCTTTTCTTTAGGAAGGGTAACTTGTGTATTATGGATATTGTGGCTGCAGTGATATGACCCTCTCCTTATCCCCTTATATGATCACCACGAGAACTATCCCAGGACTGGCTTACCTGTAGTTATACCTATCTTCTTGCCTCCCTATTATGTCTGACTATTTGCACAGAGACTAAAGTCTCTAATCCATTTCCACAACAGCAAAGATAATTGGATTATTTATTTTTGAGATGAATAGTACTTAAAAAGCTCTTTGAAATATCACTCTTATCTTGACATACATTTGGAGTTACTTTGGAAGTATCCTTTTTTATGCATAAAACAAAGCCCAAATTGTTATTGGCTTCCTCTGTGTAGAAGCTACTGCAGAACTTTCTTGAACAAACAACTTGGTCCTTAGGTGTTGCTTTCCATCTCTAATAAAATTAATTTCTGTCGAATTTAACTTGGACTGTTTATTGTCATCAGTCACAAGCCTATTCAGTGTGTTCTCAGTGCTATACTAGGTACTTTTAGTTTAGCCATTGAAATAAAAACACTATTGACTGTTGAATCAGGCAGATAGGTGACTCATTAAGAGGTATACACCTCAGAAGTTGGGGAAGAGCTGAAAAGGAGGTTAGATAGTGAGGAACTACACCAGTTCAATTTGAATGTGAAAAATGGTACAGGGAAAAATCTAAGTGAGAAATATAAAAGGACAAGAAAGTTGAAAAGAGGACGTGGTTCCTTAGTGTAGCAGTTAGCACGTCTGCTTTACACGCAGAAAGTCCTGAGTTCATGACACAGTGGAGCCATGGTCCATGGTCTACGGCCATGCCACCCTGAACAAGCCCGATGTCTGATCTCGGAAGCTAAGCAGGCTCGGGCCTGGTTAGTACTTGGATGGGAGACCACCTAGGAAGACCAAAAGTTGAAAAGAGGACGTGGTTCCTTAGTGTAGCAGTTAGCACGTCTGCTTTACACGCAGAAAGTCCTGAGTTCATGACACAGTGGAGCCATGGTCCATGGTCTACGGCCATGCCACCCTGAACAAGCCCGATGTCTGATCTCGGAAGCTAAGCAGGCTCGGGCCTGGTTAGTACTTGGATGGGAGACCACCTAGGAAGACCAGGTGCTGTAGGCATAAATAATAATAAAAAAGAAAGCTGAAAAGGATTTTGAAGTAATGTAGATTATTATAGATAAGAAGCACCAGCAGCGTTTCAAGTCATTTTCAGTGGAGTATCAGGTGTGTTAATGCTATTATATTTCCAATAGATATTTTCTGTGTTCTCTTTGTCAAGATCTCCCTCATGCAGGACCATAAGGATCCTCTTGAGTTAATGGAAGCAGAGATGATTGAAGAAGAACTTAATGTCGAGGATGAGGTATGAGTATTATATTCTTTCAAAGAAAATAATTTGGATTAAATCTTGAATAAATAGAATAATACATGTAGTGACTATGTCAGATACAAACTATTCAGAGAAAATATTTTTTGAAAAATACCAAAAGGATGGTTCATAGAAAGGAAAAAATGGAAAACAAGAATTCTTCCTTGAAGACATTAAGAACTTGGGGACTGTCTGCCTCAGGCATGTGGGCATGATCAGTGATGGGAAGCAGCCAACACACTCGTCCTGATTTTATACCTAAGCCTCCAAATACTTTCTATTCCAGAGACCTAAGGGATAGAGGAAAGGTGAAGGAAGAGAATTTCTCACCTGGGAGTTTCATAAGATTCGGAATATTATGTGAGGAATAAGAAACTCATGACCTTTCTTTATCTGACCGATAATGGCTTAGAAAAGACTGATTCTGTGTATTTCTGATACACTTGGGGCTGAAACTTGTAGTTAATTTGTGGCTCCACCACTGACCGAAATGGGACTAACAAAAGAAGATCATAGAATTTTAAAGTTGAAAGATGTCTTAGAAATCAAGTAATCCCACGTTCTAGCCCATGCAGAAATCTCTCCAACACCATGCCTGAGGATGTTCACGCAGCTTTTGTGTGAACATTTCCAGACTTTGGCAACTAGAAGCTCTTCCAGGTAGTTTGTTGCATGGTTAGAAGTCTCCAAGTGTTAGTTGTGCTTACAAAACAAGATTCAGCCTTTCTCTGATAACCATGCTGTGGAGTGAGATCTGCCTTCTCTAGCAACATGAGCTGTACCACTGAACAGCCTTTAAATGTTGGAGAGTAGCTCTCATGTTTCCACTAGACTCTACTCCAGGTGGGACTCCTCCATTTCCCTTTACCATTCCTCATAGACACAAAATTTGTCAATGCTTCTCTGGACAAAAAGAGGACACAAAACCCTTGACAGGATCAGGGCAGCATGGAGATTATGCGACCATGACCTACCTTGATCTCATCAAGATATTTCTATTACTGTGACTTAAAAATGTGTTTATTTTCATAATAGCTACATCAAAATCTTTGCTTCTGTTGAGCAGGGGTCAACAAAAAATTTGGCCATTTTCACACAAACTGTTGTCCAACTGGGCTCCCCATTTATATTTATGTCATTGGTTTTGACCCTAGAAATATGTAGGACTATACATATTTCTGATAGATTATATCTCGTTTGTTCCTGTTTATTAACATCCTTTTGAATTCTGAATCTATCATCCAGCATATTAACTATGCACCCCCACTGGTGTCATGTGCAACTCTGATAAGCATGCTGCCTTTGCCTTATTCCAGGTACTGATAAAAATGTTGGAAAGCATAACATTCAAACCCCTACGATAAAATCAGGCAGTGAAGATGACAGGCAGAGAAGACCTTTGTGGAGGAAATACACTGCTAGGGTGAAAATCAGAGGTCCTGCATCTTAACCTGCCAGCTTAGTGTTCCCAGCAATGTCATCATTGGGCTGTATAGTCTTTCCAGCTTTAGAAGTTTATGATTATGGGTAATAGGGCTGACTTAGTTGAGTAAAAACTCATATATCAATATTGAAACTTAAGAAGTTGCCACATTAGAGTGAAATAAGTCAGACAGAGAAAGATAGATACCATATGATTTCACTTATACGTGGTATCTAAGGAACAAAAAGAACTAATCAAAAACAGACTCACAAATATAGTGGACAATTTGGTGACAGAGGGGAGGGGGGTTGGGAGGCTGGGAGAATGGGGTGAAGGGTTAAAGAAGTACAAATCAGTAGTTGATAGTTGGGCACGGGGAGCATGGTAGAGGGAATGCAGTTAGCATTAATATGATGGCTAAGTGGAGGGCCAGGGGAGGGAGGGAGCAATTGCAGGGGTCGTTTTATGAACATTGTAGATGTCTAACCAATGTACTGTATATTTGAAATTAATTTAAATAAATTTATAAAAAAAAACAGACAAAAAGAAGTTACCACATTATAAAAGTATTTTTTCTTTTCTTTTTCTTTCTTTCTTTCTTTTTTATTTCTCTCTCCTTCCTTCCTTCCTCCCCTCCCCCTCTTTTTCCCTTCCTTCCTTCCTTCCTTCCTTCCTTCCTTCCTTCTTTCCTTCTTTCCTTCCTTCCTTCCTATTTTTATGGTGACATATGGTTAACGAAATCTAATAACTTTCAGCTGTACATTTTAACAATAAGGCATATGCATATTTACACTGGGTGTTCACCACCATAGTTAGATTTCTTTCTGTCACCACATATTTGAGTCCCTTTACCCTGTCTACCTCTGCCCTCCCACCTCCCCCCTACCCTCTGGTAACCACAAGTCTATTGTCTATGTCCATGAGTCTCTGTTTGTATGTCCTGTTCATTTGTTGCTTTTAGGTTTATATCCCACATATAAGTGATATCATGCGATTTTTAACTTTTTCTGTCTGACTTATTTCGCTTAGCATGGTTTATAAAAGTATTTTTGATTGCCACGTAAAAGGATCATTCATGTAGGATTCCTGTAGGTAGTGTGGCAGAATAGCAAAGTGGTTTTAAGGACATGGATTTCAGAATTAGATGGATTTGAATGTGAACCCTGATTCTACTTCTTAATGGTTGTGTAGCCTAGGGGAAATTATTTATTTTGTCTTCATGTTAGCTTCTTCATGTAAAATATAAACAACATACTTCAACGAGTTGTGAAAATTAAAGGATGCATAAAGTAAGTGCTCAACGAATAGTGATTATTGCTTTTAAATGAATCTAATTAAAGTATGATGAGTTACAAAAATTTTAGTCTGCTTTTATTATGATGATATACACCTAAATGAGTAAACATAAGCAACTGACACTATCAAAACATACTTGTGAAAAAAGATAATGTAGATTTAAGGCGAATGCAGTTGTATTAACACTTTGCTTTCCCTTTGCCTCCACAGGCTATGCGTAGACTTGCTTCCTGAAGGTGGGCTTGGGTGGTCACTATAAGCAAGGACTGCAAGGCAAAATTTAACTACCAATGTAATTCTATGCAAGCATTTTCTGCATTGACTATTCCTATGGACTAGAAACACTCATTCTTTTTCCATTAGATTTTTAAAAAATTTTGATTTTTAAAAACCACTTATCCATTGAAAGAGAAGCACTTAAGATTGTTTCTAGGCTTTATTTATAAAATACATAGTTTACCTCTAAAATGTGCAAAATGGTGATGAGAGTTATCCAAGCAATTTAGCAATTTCTAGGATCTGCTGGTGTTATATTGCTGCACCCTGCACCCCCGTGGCAGAGTTGCTGACAGTTTCCGTGGGCTCTGGGGTACCTCTGCTCAGTTGTGGTAAGTGTGATGCAACAGCCTCTGTGGGCAGGTGAGTCGGGAATGATTATCATAAAGAAAAATCTATTTCTGACTGGCCTTGATAGCCATGAGGTCCACTGATCACAGTAAGGGCACACTGAGTAGACGTTGAAACGTAATTGTTAGTGCATTTATCAATAAAAGTGTTCAAAAATCACTTTTGGTAAATACATCAAAAAAGTTTTTTAAATACAAACTTGGTTAGTACTTAATAGTGAATGTTATATGTGACTGTATGTGTAACCAGAATTCAGAAGCAAGGAAATGGTTCACTTAAGAGCTACAGAACTAGGCCGATATATTTTAGAAACATTGATTTAGAGAAATGAAGCAATAAGATTATTGTGGTTTATAGAAGTCATTTTGATATAACCATGGATCACAATTAGATCAAGTAAAGTATATGAAAGACTGTCTCTAGCTTAAAAATGCAATTTTAACAAGTTTATAGGGATGATCGTTGTGTAGAGGTACATAAAGATACAGACAATTTAAAATCTAACACAAAAATTGTGTTATTTTGAACAAAAAATAATTTTGATATGTTTAGAAGACTGTGGTGATTAAAACAAGTTTATATTTTTCTCTAAAATTTTAGCAGTATGTAAAGTTAAGTGACCTTTTAACTGAATTCTGATCACCTTTCCGAAAAAATCTAAAAACTAAACAGCTTAAATATAATTCTATGTTTAAATCGAGTTTTTTTAGACAAAACATTCTAAATGAACTCAATAGCAAAAGAAAAAATTGGTTGGGAATATATACATTGAAAATGTATAGGTTTTTAAAAATCCATATTTTAAGCCAGAAAATATTTTATATCTTTTATTTTTACTTAAACTTTTCTGACTGCCAACAATTTTCTAGATATTATATGTAATATACAGGCTGTGGTCCTGTGAACTATTCTCATATATTTCATGCTGGAATGAATGAAATTGTACTTCATTTCTAGAGAAAAATAAACACTGAGGTCCCCAACTGAGACTATGTCTTGCGTGGTTGAGAATTATATTATACCTTTGACACAGATATGTGAAACTGTCAAATGTGTTTGGCTATCTGAAGGCAGCAAATACCAAAGTTACCCCTTATAATAAGACCAGAGTTTTGCAAAATCCTGCATCCATTTGCGACTATATAAGATCACAGTCTATTTAACTTGTTTCTCAAGCGCACTCTAGGAATATTGTCTCTTCTATGCATTTTTTGAATAATAAGCACACTTTTAATGCTGTATAGCCAATGAGAATTTTACTTGAAATTAAAGTTGTCTTTTGTTATGTTTTAACCTACATGATAAGAATCCAATGTTGTATGAATTTCAGTAACAAATGAAAAAATCACATCATGTACATTTGGAAATATTTGTACATATTTTTATGAAATGTAAAGTTACCTTTTAAACTACTCTGATGTATCCTCTCTAAAAAAAAACTATTAAATATAATAAAGAATGCTACCTTGTAAGTTTGTCATTACTCTTTTCACTCATTGGTTTGATGTATTCTTTATAATTCTACTTCCATCTTTCATATGTGCAATTTCTTTTATCATGTTATAAAGACACTTTAATATTCATTTAAATAACTCAAACAGATTGCCTTTGGCTAATGGCAAATTATAATAAACATGCATTTTCCAAG